AAATATTGACACGTCAAAGATATCCATATTAATTCAAATACTTATATCACCTGATATCATACATTGTTTAAATTAATGTTAATGAAAAGTATTATGAAGTTAAAATCCGGAAAATTCACGTACTTTTTAAATTATAAACGTTCGGGAAGACGTGACTGGTGAATAATGAAAGATACACTTTGCTAACGATTTGTTTGATAGAAAAACGTTAAAACAATGATGACTGAAGTTCAGAGGTGAAATTCTAAGTCACATTGTGTTTTTTTCTTATAATTGAATAATAATAGCAGAATATTTAGTAGCATTTCGTGCATTACTTAATTATGATTTTCTTTTTTACAATTTAATCAGCAAATTGAAACTTTGCATTCGATAATTTCATTTCAATGCTTTATTTTCTTCCTTCCAATACTTTTCAGTCAAAATTGTTAAGAAAGTTTCATGCAAAAAGCTTACTTTTAATAAAAGTTACTAGTTTTTTATTTTAATTTTTGCAATAATATAAAATTAGCATATAAAAAGATTTTAAAAAGTACAAATCAAAGAAAGTATTTAAGAGAATAAACAAAATTTAAGTGAGTAAAATACTTAATTTGTGTAAGGAATAATAAATCAAAGCAATAATAATTTTTTGTAAAGGAATAAATTGCCAAGAAAGTAGCAGAATGGACAGAAAGGATTAATGCAAGTAGAAAGTTGTAATCTGTGAAGAAATTACAAGTTTATTAAATTAGAAATCCGAGAAGGCCCACAACAGCTGTACACATGTCTTACTTTTGTTACTTTTTAAATATTACCTCTTTTGAACTTGTTTAATTGATCAGTTAACTACGATTAATGACAGAAGCAAACGTTAAAAATTACACAACACTTTCATATTAAACGTGTTGAGATAGATAATCTAGATTTACTTAAAAGTAAAAAAATACATGCAAATATTCACTTGCTCGCTTTTAGATGCCTTTCTAGTCTTTATTTTTTTTATAGTAAAAATTACACATTAAATATTATTATAATGCAAAGATTGAAAGATTAAAGTAAAGCTTTTCCATCACCAAATGGATAACGCAAAAGCTTCTAGGAAATAAGTGAAAATGTAAGACATTATAATATTCGAATTTACACATCCCTAAAATATTTAAAGTAATTGTTATCATTACTTTTAATTGTATTAATGAGAAAAAGTTAGCGGAAGATAATGTTTCATTCAAATCTTAAAATAAAACTCAGTGAGAAAATGTAATTGCTCAAAAATTTAGATAATATGAATAGAATTTCTGCCCACAACAGCTGACTTCCTTCCTCTTAGCTTAGCTTAGATTATATATTCCAACGATAATTAGTGGAGTAATTTGGTTGTTTTTGTTTTGTAAAGCTTTTAAAGTAATTTTTGTTTTTGAAACTTAATTTATGAAAGCCATTCATTGCTCGTTAAAATGATATTGGTAGCATTTCAGAATCATAAAAGAGTTATACTAAATTTACAGCAAAAAAAGTTTTTGTCTAATATTTCAATTTGACTAAACATTTTCGGCCAATAAAAATTTGCATAATTAGTGTAAACAGTTGAAAGTTCTGAAATATATAAAAATATTCTTCTCCTACCCACAACTTTTTATATATTTTAATAGCTGTTAAATTATTAAAATGTATGATAAGTTGTGAATAAACCAAGAAATGCGCCAGTGACATCTTTAAAATGAATTTTAAATATTATTTAATAATAATTGCAAATACAGAATTAGCTCATTTTATTGAAAGCTAGTTTATAATGATAATTTTTGAAATATTCTTATTTTCAAAGGCTGAATTTTAAAAATACCCCTAAAAAATTTTGAAAGTAAGCACACATTTTAGTCTAAGTGGAAATAAATGTTCTGCTTTGTTTTGAACAACTTTTATATGCAGAAACAATTGTTTGATAACCTCTGAACTTTCAGTATTTCAGAAATTATACAGAAAATGTTGCATTGATTCGTTTTTGGATACAGTTTTTTGTACACGCAAAAATTAAAAGCATACTTGGCGTAAGTAATGAATATTTTGTCGAATTTGGTGCTTCGTACTACCACAAATTTCTTTTGAAAAAGTTCCCGAAGCAAGTTTCAGGCCACAATTTATTCAGTCATTAATTGCTTTAAGTAAATTTGATTGAAGTCTTTACGTGCTGAAGTTCTTAATACTTGACCTTTGAGTGAAGTTTGCAATCTGAGTGTACCAAAGAGTTCTGTGTGATGACGATGATAGGCTCAACTTTAGCACCAGTTTTGAGGCATTTCAAATAAATCGAACGCTTACCAATGCTTATTTCCAATAGTTTTATATTTATCTTTGAAGTGCACTAACTCTTAAATAGTTACTGACTGATAGAAAAATGCAGTGTCTGATTAAACTTTCATAGAGTGCTCTGCTAATCATTTGAATAAGACTGGGATCTTACTATTTCACAGCGATCTTTTAATTTTGGCAATCCTCATGTTGATCTGTGTGAAGCGTTGATTAAATTGTTTATTCTCAAGGTCATAGTTCAAGTTCGGTACGTGTTAGTTAGTAGTTGTTTTAGTGCATATCTATGCCCTTACCTTAGAGTTATTTTTTAACTGAAATTCCTATTTTTGACAGAGTTTCGTTCTCTAAGCATACCATTATCGTGTGTTACCTGTACATAAAGCACGTGTTCACGAATCACAAATTATGTTACGTAAGGACTTTACGCTGCCCTCATTTCTTACTCTACGGCTGTTTTATTGTGTAATGCAAAGAATAATCAATAGTTTACTATGCTCAGTTTGCAATGCTAGAAATGATAATCATATATTGTAATTTCCAGCTTTAATGAAAAATGCAAGTGTAATTATTGTACTTGTAAGTAATTTTTTAAATTTCCGATATTACTTTGAAATTTGCTTTATCGATTACTTTAATGTCTGCTTAAACTTATAGGAATTAACTATGCGTGAAATTATCCATAATTCAGATTTCCAAGCAAAATGGTTGAAGGAAAAGTAATAGAAAAGGAAAATAAAAAAGAAGGAAAGCGACGTCATGAATCGACTAGCAGTTCTTCTTCTGACACCTCAACTGGTTCTTCTGAAAGTTCGTCATTTAGTGATTCTTCGTCTTCATCGCGATCTGGTTCAACAACAAGTTCGGAAACTTCCAGATCTCCTACTCCCAGAAAAGCGGTTAAAGGTATTGGCAACAATTCTACACCAATTCACTTTATTTTCTTCCAATTTTTTTTTCCAATTTGTCAGTCAGCATCTATAAGTTCTCACTTCTGATGTCTGGATTTGGCTCCAAAAATATAAATATAATTCTAAGTTAGTCAATTAGTTTTGAAGATGCAAATTGGAAAATTTTTAAACATTCTTAATTTTCTGTCTAGCCACTTAAATAACATTCAGAAAGAAATGAAATACCACAAACAATCAGTTTATTTATGTTACATATTAAAATCTCCATTTTTTGGTGTCTTATGATGAAATGAGCCTCGTAGAATGAAATGTGTTTTTCCTTATTTTAAAACACTTTGATTCTTTAGTTATTACAGAACGACCACGTAGTCCAGTTAGACGTTCGCGTTCACCACGAAGTGGACCACGAGCTGAACGTAATGAGAAAGCCGTAATCGCTTCTTCTCGTCGATCACCCACACCTAAACGACGTAGAAGACGTTCTTCACCATCTCCGAAGCGACGGCCATCGCCGTCTCCAAAGAGGCGAGATAGAAGCGGTAGCCGAGATCGACGTAATCGTTCGCGTTCTCGAGAACATAAGGTATACTCTTTGAAGGCCAAAAATATAAAATTCTAATCGCTAATCCTGTCATCAGTTACTTAAGCTTTTACTTTGCAGATCTAATATATTTACTGTCTTCATATCATAACTAGAACGAATATTCAGCAAAAAAAGTCAAATCACTGTTAATTTGCGAAGTTGCTTGGTAATGACTTGAAAACGCTTATTGTTTTTTGAAGCAAGCTCATCTTTTGCTATTTCATAAGCGTTGGAAATGCTGAAATATGCTAATATATCTTGGTCTTAAATTAGACTTCTTTATTTAGACTTTTTTAATCTTAATTCATGATTTCAGGCAAGTCCAGTTCGCAAAGTCACTCCGCCACCGCGTCGTCTTTGTGTGCGTAATTTAAGTCGAAATGTAACAAAAGAGCATTTGTCGGAAATTTTCGGTGTTTATGGAGGTTTGAAGGCATGCGAGTTGCCAATGGATCGGCAGCATACTCATTTAGGCAGAGGTTCGTAGTTTTTTTTTCCTCACAAAAACGTGGGTTTTTTGATCAAATGATTAAGGTTTACTCCAGAGTTACTGAAATTACATGACGAAACTGAAGTACATTTTACTTCTCAGTTTATCTGTCTATCTGTCCATTATGATTTGATGCTACTGCCTGATCTTTCCGAATTACGGAATGTGATACCCTACAAAAATTTTTCATTTAATCTGTCTTGTCTACAAATATATTTTTTGAAAGAATACTTCAAATGGATATCATTCAACACTAATACGAATTCAGGATATGGATATGTGGAGTTCGAGCAACCGGAAGATGCGGAGAAAGCTTTAAAACACATGGATGCTGGGCAAATTGATGGTCAAGAAGTCACTTGCGAACTCACACATCCACCTCGTTCAACGCTTAATGGAAGTGGTAGGCGTCCACTTTCGCCCGTTAGGTATGTTAATGCTATTCTGTGTTATCCAAATGTATCGATTTCAAGGCTCTAAATAATACTGACGTTTTAGTATTTCTGTTCTTAAAAACACAGTTACTGTTCCTTAATACTCACTACCTCTACGAAATATCCAGGATAGTTTTGTCACATATTAGCGGTCTCATGTTATATATGTCATGTAGAAAGATGGAAAATGCGATTGAGTAACAAAGTAGTATCATTGTAGATGATATACAGTTATGGCTTTTGCAATCTCTGTACTTGATGTCGCATAATGCTTGAATTTCTTTTTTGCTATACTCATTAATCTTTTGGATCTTGTGTAATTCTAGATACCGAGGCTCATCACCTCGACGTTATCGTAGTCCACCTCGTTCGCACGGAACTGGTGGAAATATGGTACCGTTAGGACCAAGCAGATTCAATCGATCTCGAAGCCGTAGCCCAAGACGCAGACGCAGTCGTTCATGATTTATCTACAAGCACTTTTCTTTTACGGAAGTCATTTAAAAATTGAGACAGTTGTATGCATAGCTGGTACCACCCAAACTTCAAGAGTACTAACAGCTTGGCATACTACTTCTTGCGCAGTTAAAAAATGCGACCTATGGCCGAGATTCGGCGAAATTTGGCAATCTGATTTCGTTTTCCTTGTTCGTAAGGTTTCATAGAAGTTTTTAATTTAATGCAACTTTTTTATTCGTGCTGTTGTTTACTTTGTAGTCGTGAAAGTAAACTTATTAATAACATCGTGTTAGCGAGACTTCCAATAGTATAACTATTTCATCGATTAATACGAGCAACGTATTTGTAAGAAGCAAAAAAAAATAGTTCGACTTTTACCAACATTTTTTTCATTTCTCTAGAATAAGCAATTATTAATATCGATATTCCAAAATTAGCAAATTTACATGGAACGCATGAGTTGAACACTAATAAACGGACAATACAAAAATTCGCAAGTAATTCTGTAATATATAAATATATATACTTAGATAGCTTGTTAAATTTTGTATTTAATAAAAAATGAAAAATCAAGTGAGGAGGGCTAACCAAATATGATAAGACTGTACAATAGCGAAGCTGGCTGCAAATAATTCCAATGATAGCCAGTCCTTATAAAGAACACTGACCACCCGTTTGAGATTTATCAAATAAATTTGACTTGGCTTCAAACGTTTTGATTAACTTGATGAATGTTTTACTGGTCTTGACTCTAAAGAAATCAGTTTGTTGCTATAATCGACGAGTTCTGTCCTCGATACTCGACCCCGCTGGTTGATAAACTTTGCCACTAGAATGAACATTACAATTTTAATTTAGTCAAGTTTCAGTTTATGTACATTTTATATTAATTTCTCCCCCACTGTTGGTATTGATCCATCACTTTCTACTATCTTAGAAAACGTGAATTTACTGTTTGAAATAGTGACTTCACACTATTTTTGGTGCTTACAGCTAATAGGCTAAGTGAATCATGCCTAATGAATCTATCTAAATGACTACTGACCAGCTTGGAGTTCCTCAGCAGTAATGTAGATAAATTTTCCACGATCATCTATTACCCCAGTAATATTACCATTTTTCATTAGGTAATTAAGTCGATCAATCGCATCTTCTGTACGCAGATTGAAATAAGCACCCAATTCGTCCATGTTAACTACCTAAGTTAAAAAGTGAAGTATCTTAAAACATGAAAAGTTGTTCCGACCATGACGATATCAAGAACTAACTTTAGTGTTGCGGATGTAGTCTTCGAAATCCTTCAAAAGGTTCCTTGATTCATCTTCCTCCACTTCATCGAATCCCTCTTGATCAATCACGAAATCTTCCCGCAGCTGCAATACTATTGTGAGTTATATGTGATTAATCAAATTCTCCTCGCAAATTCACATCTAACGAGTTTCAGTTAGGTATACTAACTGAATCTCAGTCATTAAAAGCAACCTTTCGATATTCTTCTTCTTCACGTTTCTCACGTTCTTCTTTCTCTAAACGTTTCCTCTTCCGTTCTTCCTCTTCTTCTCTTTCCTTCTCCTCACGTTCTTTTTGTAGACGTTCTTCATTCTCTTTTTCTCGCTTTTTTCGTTCTTCACGTTCCAGTAATTCCTGAAGAAAAAACAAATCATCGATGATCATTCTTCTTCGAAATATAATCAAATGAAACTACCGCTTCACGTTGTTTTCGTCGCTCTTCTTTTGCTTGAAGTTTCGCCAATTTCTTCTTACCAATATTTTCGTCTTTTGCTAATTGTGCTAATGATGATTCCTCATATTCTAAAATGACTAATTGATTATTTAGCCATAAAACTCAGTACCTACATATTGCTTGAGAAAATTCATAGTATGTGTAACTTAAAATTACTTTCAAAAATATTCATCAAACATTTTTCAGTGATGTCTTGAAATCTGCTAGTTTAAAAGACTACGTAATTAAGATTTTACCTTCTTCAGAATCCTCATTTTCATGATAAGCAGCACTTGTCAATCCCACATCACGATTAGCTTCTTCATCTACAATATGACGTACACGTCGACGTGCGACTGGTACACGTCGTCCACCAACAACTAAAATTTGATGATTTAGTAGTGCGTGTAGCAAAAAAATTTGCCCAAACATATTTATTAAAACGGTATTTCTTTATTCAGCCATCTACTAATTTCGAACCTTTAAGAACAATTTTCTTCAACAGTCTGCATTTTATGAAATATTTTTAATCTCTCCAATTAATTTTTGTAAATTATAAAAGAAATGAAAATTAAATTAATGACAATAATAATAAGATTTTCATTACATCGAAAATAAAATGGAAGTTTGAAAAAATTTTAATAGTTTTAGAATGAACTAGAGTAACATATAAATACACTTAATATCTTTAGTATAATGCATATATAGAAATTACCAAATCTTACCGAGAAGTTCACGTTCATTTCTTTCATTATTTCTAATATCACGTTCGTCAACTGCCATTGCACGTAACGTCTCCTTACGTCGACGGGCCACACTTTCATCCAAATATAACTTGATGATACGGAAAATAATAAGCATCAAAGCTGTTATTAAGATACCAGCAGATCCCAGAAACAGGTAATCTAACTGTGCCATCGTACTCAAAACAACTGAAATTTATTACCGCTCAATCAGGATTCTTGCTTAAGATTATTAAAAAATTTAATGTCTTGTATAAACATATATTATTCATTATATATTTAATAAATATAAAATATTAATTTAAATAAATATTATCGGACTTTGACCGAAGCTTAATGAGAAAATAAGCACACAACTGCATTACCAATAACATTATATTTATTGCTAAGCCGATTTCATACATTCATTAAAGAAGTGTTAATCAACTACATTAAATAATCCCTGTTCAGAGTAATTACTTCCACACGGTATCGCGTTAAAGCTAGCAATTTTAATTATACAAATTCAAGGAAACATATAAAGCTGACAATGTTTCAAATTTTCATGGAGTGGCCGTGTTTTTTCTGGTTGTGATACAAATAAGCTGGTATATCTCTAGTTCTTGGCACTATAATTAGAGCAGTTTTCAGCTCAAATACGACAGGTCATGCTGACATATACATCCTTTAATAGGTCTATACTAATGAACTCTAGTAAGTTTTGCTTTTCAGTGATTTTTAATTTCATGTACTGTTATTTTTGTAACAATCTGTACTGTTAGTAAGTGCGCAAATTTTGCTTTCTTGAGTTTTAAGGTCTTGATATACATCATGTCGTTCTAATTTTTTCATTTCGTTGTATCATGTACTAATTTTATTAATATTTGACATTGAGATATGAAGCAAAGATGCAAAGTAAGGTTATTATGAAGCATTCCATGTTATAAATGATTAATGAATTCATAAGTTTAGTGTCATTACACTTTTAATGTCAATTTTGATATAAAAGTGAGTGCGATCTAAATGATGCCGTATTTCAGAAATGTGTGCAGTTGGTGGTTTCTGCGGAAATTTCCTGACAAAATTAGCTCAAACACATCATGCTAGATGTTTAGCAGTACCTGGAATGAAACAGGTATATAAAAGGACAAAACCTCATTTAAACGTAGGCACTATCGGACATGTAGATCATGGCAAAACAACTCTTTCTTCAGCTATTACGAAAGGTATTTCTCATGCCATGTTCAAAATTAGTATTCAATTTTTATTATAACGCGCATTCTGAAAGGAAATCATTTTATTACATCTTCGCTAATTGATGTAACAGCAATTAGAAGAAAATTGGATTAGAATGTTTTTCAGTCCTGGCGACAAAAAAGGGTGCAAAATTTAAGAAATATGAAGAAATCGACAATGCTCCTGAAGAGAAATCTAGAGGTTCAAATACCAGTCCTCCGTTAATACTATGCATTTCTGTCTAGTCGTTACTTTGTTTGATCAAAAAAGACTTCTTAATTTGTGGACATTTTGCTTTTTCGCAGTTATGCCATTGAATACTGTCTTCATTATTTTACCTCTGCTTTAAAACATAAAATAGACTTCAAAATTAGAATTAATTCAAAGCATTGTTCGCTATTTCAGTTTTATAGAATAAAATATGGAGTTTTGACACTTTTCTTGCTTAGGTTAAGGTCATAAATATTCTTTGTAAATTATTGGCATTTCAAGAATATCAAGAAAAGCAACCAAATGTTATTCCACCATATTTAAAAATGAAGAAATATGAATTCCAATATATTATTAATTTTTATTTATATGTCTGTTGCTTTCAGGTATTACCATTAATGCATTCCATTTGGAATACGAAACAGAGAAGCGACATTATGCGCATATTGATTGTCCAGGTCATGCAGATTATATTAAAAATATGATAACCGGAACAGCACAGATGGAAGGTGCTATTTTAGTTGTAGCTGCAACCGATGGAGCTATGCCACAGGCAAGTTTTTCTCAATTATTTGTATGTATTAAAATTCGGATCAATGGGTATTAAAAAATGCTGGATCATTTCTCACAATAATAATATAGTCTTAATATTTGGAATGATTGAGACATATGTTAGAATATTTTTCATTTTAGACTCGAGAGCATTTATTGTTAGCACGACAAGTTGGAATCCCTGTAAATAATATTGTCGTATATTTGAATAAAATAGATGAGGTAACTGATAAAGAAACACATGAGTTGGTTGAAATGGAGATGCGCGAATTGTTGTCAGATCTTAAATATCCAGCTGAATCGCCGGTAATTTTCTATACTAAATGAATTTGCCTTGTGCATTATGATTATCAATAAATCAACATGTTTGTCTACCAGTTCTTTATCTTAAATATAAAATAATAAACCCGCTAACTACTATCATAAATCTTACCAAATTCTTATGTTTTTGTAGATAGGAGTCTTGAGATTGAAAAACCCATTTACAATCATTTGTCGTCGGTAACTTTGCAATATAACTGTTCTGCAGGTTGTCTTTGGTTCAGCACTCTGCGCATTGGAAGGGAAAAATCCAGAGATTGGTGAAGAGTCAATTTGGAAACTTCTGGATGTTCTTGACAATTCATTCATTATTCCAGAACGAAGTCAGAATACGGAGGTCATGTTTCCAGCTGAGCATGTTTATGCAATTAAAGGTTACTCTCCTTTCAGCTTTTCAGTAATGCTGGCTTATTTTAATATCGATTTTATTGCCAGTTTTTTGTCATATCTACCTTTTATGCATTAGAATAGTGATGCTTTATTGTTATAATAATTGACTTTTGAAGCATTAATAATGGTGCAGAAATTGTTCAGGTCGAGGAACGGTTATTACTGGCAAATTAGAAAGGGGCACGTTGAAAAGAGGAGATAAAGTGGAAATAGTGGGGTCTGGAAAAGATCCAGTTACATCAGTTGTGTCAAGTAAACATTTGTTCTTTTAATCTCATGATTTGAGCTTTATTTTCATAATTTCTCGTTTCTGAATGGTGATTTTCAAATCCAGGTCTCGAGACGTTTAAAAAATCCCTCGACCTTGCGGAACCTGGTGACCAACTCGGTATTTTGTTAAGAGGTGTAGACAGTAAATCAGTGCGGCGGGGTAGTGTCCTTCTACCTCAGGGGCATAATCATGTGCCCACTGATAAAGTGGAAGCTCAGGTCTAGTCTATCTTTCCATGTTATAAATGTCTTTTTGCTATCCATTAATCAAGTTTTGGTGTGTGATTTACATCATACTTTGGTGTTTGTGAGATTAGAAGTTACTTAATAAGCAGTACAGGAGCTTATCTCTAAACCAAAATAATCAAAATTTAAATGTACCAAATTTACAGTTTTTCATTTGCAGTATTTATCGTTTCAGTTGTACATCTTGAAACCAGATGAAGGAGGCGCTAAAACACCAGTTGCTAATTATTTTTCGGAGCACATATTTTCTTTAACATGGGACTGTGGTGCAGTAGTTAAAATCAAAGGCAAAGACTTCATTATGCCTGGAGAAGTTGGAGAGTAAGTTTACCAATTCAGATATGTTACATTACATATCTTAATAGTAAAATCATTCTCCACTAACGAGATAAAAATTACACAATGAAGAGTCAGTGTATTCATTTCCAAAATTTATCGGTATGTTTTCATATTTTCAATGTTTCCAGAGTTGAACTGCATATGAATGCGGTTCAGTTTATTGAACCACAACAAAGATTCACAATTCGTAAAGATCCAGTTACAGTTGGCACTGGTGTTTTCACAAAAGTTCATCCACCACGAACAGAAGCTGAGAAAGATAAAAAGAAAATGAAAGCGGCGATGAAGGTTTCCTTCTGCTCTTATTTATGTTGTATCAAAAAATATTGTTTAAATTCGACTTTATGAGCCTAACTTTTAGGTGATTATAACAATAAACATACTTTAGACACTAAGTTCTTGAGAGACAGACCAAGTAATCATATTGTCAGTACTGAAGTGATAGTCGAAACTTTAGGCTGAAATGGAGCGACTTGGTTTCAATCCTTATGGTCAGCAAATGGAAAAACGGTTGAAACCAGATTATACAAACAGTCCCAAACAATCTCCAGAGGCGAAACTCTTTGAAACTCAAATGACATGAGACAGTTGGCATATGATTTAATGTATCCAATGCAGTTTGTACTCACTGCTAATTTTAAGTGTTGTTGATTTTGCTCATTTCAGATATTTCAAATTTGAAATAATAGGATGCAGTCTATTCTACAAGACTGTTTACTTTCTTCATCGTTTCTTCCGTTTGTTTGCATTAATGAGATAATTTGTTTAGTGCTTTTCATATCAATTCTTGGTGTATTTGTTTTTTCTCATGAACTTCATTAATGATAATAGTCGTATCTTCTCCTACTTTGGTAGCTACGTGACTGTAATCAACTTATCAATTCAATGAAGCTTAATCTTTGTGGACCAAATATTTCTTTCCAGTGTTGAAGTTGTGAAGGACAGAGTATGAAAGGATTATCTATACATTGCATGGACAACCATGCAGAAATCTCATCAAACACGATAGGTTTTAGCCCCTATAACTGACGTGTATTGGTTAGTTTGGGACATGTTTCCAAAGCCTTTACAGTGAACAAAATTTTACTCTAGGTGTGAAAAAAGATAATACCATATTTTGCGGGTTTGTGTGGTATTCCAAATTGGGTCCTTCACGGCTAGGTGAAAAAGGTTGGAAATTGAAGTTTCGGGGAGTTAGCCATCATTCATCTACATGTTTCTCGGAATACTGCCATCCTATTACATAAAGAGGTAGAACTCAATGATCCGAATAACAGGGTGTGGATAGCTGGCAGTAACGCCGTGGTTAACAAAGGCACATAATAAAATCAGCAAATAAACTATAAACAATACGTGCGATGTCAAAGTCAAGTTGCTGTATGGCTCTATAATTTACACTGTATATGTAACATTATGGAAACATTTACTTAGAGTGGGACTTTGCTGTGAATATGATTACGGATGAACTGGGAACCTTCTTTAGTCTTTACTACAGTTCTCAAAGCCCTCAGGGCTCGTCCAGCAAGATCGAAACCAATTGTATGAATACGGTCTGATATATCTTCATAAGGACCGAAACTCATTCGAATTTTGACGTTATCGAAGATCGGAACATATTCTGTGACTGGAGCAGGTTTGTTTTTTTCGAGTATATCTTCATATACTGCAAAGATACTGATTAATTTCAAAATTGAGTACTTCATTGCTGGTTTTTACTCTTAACTTTATTTAACAAAAAGTAGTAGGTGTTCTCTTACAAAGTAGAACATTCAATACCATAGCAAAGAAGATACACTCGCAATGTATAATCAAATGAGAAATTTTCTCAGCATTTAAGATTTAAAACACCCAAATGAATCATTTTTAATAAATAGAAGCCATACCTACCACTGCAGTCAATTATTTTTTTCAATGATTCCAAATCGTTATCATCAGTCTTCTCTTCTTTTACACCTGATCCCAAACACGAATCCTACAAAGGTAATTAAGGGGAACAAATACTCATTCCTTCGTTCGAGTTACAAGTGCAGACCAAGAACAGATTAGGTTAACTGACTGTTTATGCACGTAATTTTGAAGAAACTCACAGATGAATCTGAAATTCTTTCAGGACTTCTTAAGGCAATCCGTTTAATTAGCATAAATGGTCTACCAGATTGTTGTCTCAGTGATCTTTGAGCACCAATTTGGCTTTCGCTTTCCGTTTTGTATATATCAAATATATTACTCATCCTGGAATCTGCTAAAAACAATCAAAAGTTATTGCTGTAAAGTTTGACCAGATTGATGACTTGTCTTGCACACCATATATTATGTCTTAGAAATATCGAGACGTTATCGATTAGGAAAACAAGTCGCGAAAGGAATTTCAACCATTGAACATTAGTGAATGACCAGGGTGAAGTTATTCTAATACACTATGGTATCATAAGTGTAACACTATATCAGTGCTTCATCTACACAGAGTAAATTAGTCTAGAACTAAATTATTTGCAAGATCGTTTCAGTGTACAATAAATTATATTTGTAAAATAAGTTAGTATGTTACCGTTTCGGACAGTAATAAATGTTTTTCTATATCTTTTGGGTGGATTACCAAATGTTCCCAGCAATTTTTAAAAAATTATCAAGTAAATAGAGCAATTATAAACTGACAGTAAAACTTAACGTTATTTTCTTAACCTTTTGAAAAACTAGAATGTAATGTGCAGTTGTTACATAAATATTTGTTCTCACTTCACATATCATCGAGTAAATTCTTCATAACACGCTAGATCTGAATTGAAATTTAAATTCAAAGTTCTAAAACCGTCAGAAAATTTAAATATCACGACTTCTAAAAATAAGTATATTGCAGCGTGTATGTATATTAATTGAAATCTCTAATGCGTGCAAATTTCTAACAATTTGCATTTATCAATAAGCAAATCTGCAGATTAAATTCTGATTATATAGTACACTGTGGTGAGTTAGTTATTGTCGAGATATATATGCTAGGGTATTTTCAATTTCACTCATTTTTAACTGAAGAAAAAGAAAGTCTGATTGCGGCAGTAGGCAATATGTGCATGAGAACGAAGAATGGTGCTTCTAAATTTTTACCTAATGCTTCTTTTTCATGAAAAACACCATTTATTGCTCACGTAAAGCAGCGCAATTTTAAGCGTTAGCCCGTGTTACCATCTGCAATGCATACATTAATAAATAGAAAAGTCTCAGCCATTGATTGTCGCTTTATTTCCATGAACAGGAAAATGAAAGAGATACACGTGCGTCGGTCTTCAGAATATGGATGCTCAAGTACTTTAAATGAGTGTCTCGCACCAAGCTGTACATATTTAAATCACAATTGCATTTCAGACAAAATATTCCTTAATGCGAGTCAGTTTGAACACAGAGGTCCATTAAAAATTGAAAATGAAAAACTTGATCTCGAGAAGGTAGAATCACCGAAACTTAAATTTTTTTTGCGTTCTATCTCTACTTACAAGTGCATACCCTTTCTATTCTGCTCTTATCGTACTATTTATATGAAGACTTTAAAATTGAAGGATTTGCTAGACTGACCTCTTTTTAGGTTACGTCATTTATACGTTTTGAGGTATTAATTAATAATGACGTATTTTATTTCACTGTAGATCGATGAAGAAGAAAGTTTTCGTCCAGCAGAAAAACATTTCACTTTTTCTGATCAACACGAGGTCATTTTATTTTAAACCTTTCTCTTAATCATTTACATATCAATGCCAAAATAATGATCCAGATGTGGTATAATATTACGACGGCTTTACTTGCGCTAAGTCATTGTGTACTTTAAGGTATTTGATATCGGACCAGAAGTTGAAATTGTCTCATAAACAGTTGAAGCTTGTGATTCAGTGAATATTATTTTTGGATTTGAGATGCACTTCAGAATCTTTTGAAGATATCACACTCATTTGTAACCGAATAAATCAAATCTTCATTTAGCTAATCATTATATTTATATACGTAAATAAGAATATTCTGGTGCTAAATTATATTCCGGCACTCTGGCTGTAAGCCGGAATATAATTTAAATTTAATTGTCCAGCGCCCAGATTTGTTATGCTGGTTTTTTGGCTTCATCCTCGTGAAATTCATAGCGGTCATCGAATGACGTGCTTTTGAACGTTTTCTTGAGCACTATCGATTGAATATATGCCTCAACGTGATCAGACACATTGATTTTCTACACGGAACGCTGATGGAAGTTCGTCACTATTCCATCCCTCTTCAAAATACGGAATTATTTTCGATCTGTGCTTTATCTCTGACCATTTTCTAGCACTGAGTTGCCAGATAATCAACCTCACCGTAGCGCCCACTGCATAGCAATACTTCCGGTGCAAAGAAGTCCATTCTTAATAATTTTGTCAGTAGTTCTTTTCAAGTTTTATAACTTTCCTTAACCTTTAATCCTTACTGACTTCCATAATAACAGTCTAGTCTCTTCGTATCTATGCAAACATCACTTGGAAACTTTGCTGGAAGTAAGGCCTGAATTAATTAGATATATACACGTAAAATTACTGCGTTATTTAAGCATTCTTGCATAATCACAAAGTGACTATAAGGAAGAACGGAAGAAGTTGGCAAACATATTTCCTGCTTGGAATCTGCAATTAACTAATTAAAAAATTTGGCCTTAAACCAATAAAACCAGTACATTTGATCATTCAGCTATAGTGATCATTTAATGAATAAATGCAAAGAAATTTACCATACAAAATTCGAAAAATAATCAAAATAGTGAGAGTTTGATTTGCATCATAAGAACTGATCGAAAACAAACTGCGATATGCAAATTATGTGCAAACAAAAGCTAAAAAACATTAAGAAATTATAAGTATTCGCATTTTCACAGATTAAACCTGTATAAAGTAGCCGCTTCAAGAGCAGTTCATAAATCTATTTGCTATTAAAGAGGTATTTTCACGTGTAATACGTGTGTCCTTGTTTGATAATTAATTTGCTGTGAGAGAATACGTGAAGATAAGTGTGGATCAAATGTTTTAATGATTAATTCTGAATAATTAAAGATATGGTTGACACAATCCAAACAAAAGAAGGTGCGGTGCCTATTAGCGCCGAAGCTATGCGCAGTTCAATGCGCTCAATGCGTCGAGGCAAGAACAAAAACATTCCGACTCCCTCATCTCTCGTGACACACGTACATACGCTTAATTATGTTTTATTTTTAGTAATGCGCGTATAATTTTAATAGTAATGATCTGTAAGTCTTGAATAACAATTATGCTACCGTCAAATACTTTATAATTTTAGTAGTAAAAAATAATTGGAAGTGTAATTTGAAAAATTTTTGAAGACATAATGACTTCGAGCATCAAATTTGAAATATCTGAGTTAGTAAGAGAGAAGTGGTTCATTCAACTCTGTTTGTATTTAAAAAGTACAAAAAAGCTAAAATAGCTTTCAAGAAATGATACATTCAAGGTCATTAAGTTTATAGGTCAAAGTTTGTATTATAAAAGTAAAAATTTTAGCTTCGATCCAATGGCCGGAAACTTGGAGATGGCATTGCAGAAATGTACGAACAATTTGAAAAAGAATCACATACATTTTTTGCTTTTTTCAATGCTGAAAATAGATCTAAAAATAAATTTCCAAATGGTTAGATTATAAAATATTGGTTGATATTTTAAAAGTAGATAAATAAATTTGCATATTTTTTTAATATCTGATCAAAGTTATTTGCTACAGTAATGCTTGCATAGTGTATATATTCAGCAAATATACTTTATTCCTTTACAATTATACCTTAAGATTATACTTTGTAATCCGTGAAAAGAACTAGTAAATTAGCATTACTTTAAAGAATATATTGTGCTTATTTTGCCGCTATATTATCTACATCAAATTATTGTAAAAATAATTTTAAAAGATAAGAATACAAAGTTAAAGTAAATATTCATTGTAAAATGCTGTAATAAGTTTGCATAACTCGATATGTAATGTTTTCATTTTAGATATATTCCTTTTCGACAGAACACGTGTCATATTGGTTGATCCACCTGACTACTATCATGCATCTTATGTCGATGGCTGTCAACAAGTAATTTTAAACATTAATACTTGCTATTTATACCAGTTATTATTATTATTATTATTGTTATAGTTTTATCTAAACTGTATGACGTGATCATTATCTAGCATATAATTTACTTTCAC